GTTCAAGTTTCTCCAAATCCTCACCAGCTCTAGATATCAGGGGCGTTCTTTCTATTCGTTGCCAATTTGATATATGAAAGGTGACATCGCCCACGGCCTTCAGCTGCTCGCATTTCAGAGGATGACGGGGAAGGGAGTTGACGCCCCCATCCGCATTCTCCACAGACAGTCTAGCTTTCTGAACTCCAGCGTTTGCCCAGCCTGGAGCATCCCCGTCTTGGCTAGAGACCAGCTGGGGAATCAAGCTGGCGGTATAGACTGTAAATCCCAGCATGCCTTGCAAACACACAGGTAGATGGAGATGAAGCTGGAACAGAGGATGCTGGGATTTTCCCCACGGTGTCACGGCCTGGGTCACCGAGGCTGGCAAGTGTGGAGGTGGGCAGGTGAGACTGAGTCATGCGGGACACTGGGTGTGGTTTCCTGGATCCGCTCCAGAGTTGACACGAAGGTTCCAGTAACGGGCGGCTACGCTGGGCTAATTGCTGCCGCGGCTGCCCCAGCCCAGCCCTGCACGTAGCAGCAGGAGGAGGACGAGGGGATGAGGAGGGGGAGGCGACGCTCCCCAGCGAGGGCCACCAGGAGGGTCCCTGGACACGCGCGAGCAGGCCGTCTGCCCCCAGCATCAGGGAGCCCCGGAGGAGTACTCTGAGCAGCTCCAGCCGCTCCAGGCGCGTCTGCGTGTCCCCAGGGCACCTCCCAGGCCGCACACCCAGTGGTGGGATGCCAGGCCCCTCTGCCCGCTCAGAGCCTCTCAGAGCTGAGGCAGTTGTGGGGGCGAGGAGAGAGTGTCAGGGAGCCAGGGGTCGAGTCCTGGTTTCCTAAACTTTCTGGCTCTGAACACTCGAGCTGTTCGCAACCTTTCGAAAGCCCAATTCCTCATCTCTGAAGCGAGGACTCCTCCCACCCTGAGACCTGTTGGGAGGTTATATCGACGTCCTGGGAATTTCTTGGGTGCCAGCCTGGGCTCGCTGCAGACCCTGGGTGACCTGTTCCCTACCAGGTCCCCTGCCCCCAGCGTGGAGCCGCGCACACTTCCGAGAGAGTGAATGAGTGACACAGGTGAAGCACTAAGTTGGTACCTAGGAAGTGCTTGCTAAGGGGTCAGCCATCGACACTAAGCTCAGGTTCTGCACCGGCAGGCTGTGTCACTTTGAGAAAGTCACCTTCCTTCTCTGAGCTCAGTTTCCTCGCCTGTAAAATGGGGCTTGCTCACCTGGATCTAGGGCTCTGTTCGGCAAATCGCTGGTAGACGGTTACGACGTGGGGACTCATTCAGGGTGCTGCTCTCCCTGAAAAGAGGTGGGCTCGGGGACGAAATGTGTGGCGAGCTATTGCACAGAGGACCAAGGTGCTGCCAGCCCCCGTCTCCCTCAGCATGGAGAGAGGACCTGGCCAGGATGAGGCTGCTGGGCCCAGAAGCCATGCCCAGCCCAGAAGGTCGTGCACCGACACTCCAGTGCCCATGAGTGTCCGTGACATGCCATGCGCTGAACGGGGCCCAAAATGGTCTTGGAGGCGAGAGAATTTGATGCTTCCTAGTAAACGTTGGCGGGCTCTGGTCCCCGTCCCATAGTAGAAGGGGCTGGCTGGGTTTCCATTCCGGTGAACGTCACTAACCTGCCACCCCATTGTCTATTTACTTATCGACGTCTTCAATAAGCCATCATGTTGCCGGGTGAGGGGACACAAAATGAGTTTCCAGCTGGGAGCCGACAAAGACGTCTCCAACCAGGGGTTGAAGCTGTCATTCCTCTGGGGCCACACAGGCTACGTGCGGTGGCGCTGACGGTGAACTTGAGACCGTATAGGGAACCTCATAATTCTGCTTCTGCACGTCGGGGTCCAGGGGAGAGCTGCTCAGCCCTGCCAGAGCTTCTGGTTCTCTAAGAGGAACCACAAATTCAAGTCATTCTGTGAAAACTCTCCTCATTTTGAAAAGTTGGCTTGGCAACTTATTTACATCTGTGTGGTCGCTGCAGACGCGTCTGGAGTAGGCGGCGCGGCGGGCGGTCCTGCAGAGCTGAGAGGCCGTATGGCACGGGCCGCCCTCGCGGGTGCGCGGCTGGGCAGTCACTTGGAGGACCACGCTTGGAAGGGCCCCGCCCGGTTTAATGGTCTGGAATTTTTAATAATTTTTAACGAGGGCCTGAGTTTTCGTTTTGCACTGGGCTCTGCAAATTAGGCGACTGGTCCTGACTGGAGGGACGGCCTGAGCACCCCCTGAGGGGAGAAAGGGCAGCCGGGAGGTCAGGGAAACGCTTCAAAGAGGGGGTCAGTGGAGCCTGAGGGAGGAGGCGTGCGGTGTAAACAAGGCTTGGAGCAGCTGAGCCTGGGTTTAATCCCCCAAGCACGTGAGCCGGTGTGACTGTGACGTGTGTGCGCGTGTGGCTGCGAGACTTCGGTGCGTGCGAGAATGTGTGTGGGCTGTGACTGTAGATCTGTGCCAGTGGGTGCAAGTGTGCCTGAGTGCGTGTGGGTGAGTGTGTGTGAGAGCACAGCACGCGTGGGTGTGTGCGTAGAGGGAGACGGCGGCCAGGTGGGGAGAGTCACAGGGCCGTTTAGCAAATATTCCTGGGGCTCCTCTGAGCTGGACGAGGCGCCCCCAGCTCAGGGAGGGAGAGACGTGTGTGCAGCTGGCCGGAGTGAAGGGCAGATGCACCAGACCCCTGAGTAAAATGACCCCCTGCCCTGTTCCCCGGGGACAGAGGAGCCAGAGTCCCCGGCCCTCCCTGGGTGGAGGGCGGGCTCGGGGGAGAATCCGGGAACTGAAGCACGACCTGGCAGGCACACCCAACCCCCGGCAGGCAGGGTGACCTCCCTCTGACCTGCCCGGCAGCACACGATCCCACAGCAGCAGATAAGAGGTGAGCAGCAGCTCCAGGCGGGATCCCAGCGGCCGGGCCACACCCGAGGAGAGGCCCCCCCGCCCCCACCCCCCAGGGCCAGATGGGGCCGTCTGCAGGGGGAGTCTATCCAGAGGGGCCAGAGGCTCAGCCTGTGGGAATGGGGGACAGGGGCTGACACTCTACAGAGAGGGCGCCAACGGGAGATGAGAGAGGCCGGCCCAAGCATCTGTGCCGGGCTCTGCGGTGTCCTGAGTGGTGAGGAGGTGGACAGCCCCGTGCAGGCAAAGACATCCTGAGGAAGAAACGTGTCCTTCGGGGCCAGCAGAGGACCCCTCCCTTCCGGCCCCTCCCCAGGGCTGCTCTGGGTCTCCCCAGGTCCCCTTGCAGAGCCAGCGTGTGGCACTGCCCCCTGGGCTCGCACCTGGGGGCCGGGGTCCTGGGCTCCAGTCCCCTCTCACCTGGCTGGTGACCTTGGGCCAGCACTGGCCTCGTCAGGGACACGGGGACGCCCAGTCTCCTCCAAGGGCTGTGTTGCGGAGCAAGCGAGATAGTGCGATGAGGAAAGCACCCCATAAAGGAAAATGTTGGGACAAAGGTCAGCCTGTCCTGCCGGGCAGGCAGCTGCCTCCCAGCCCTGCGGCAGAGGATGAGGGGCTGGCCCCAGGTCCCCGCTCTGCTCCCCACGGGCCCTCCATGTGTGCATCACTGCTGGAGTCTCCTTCTTAGAGCCGAAGAAAACGGGGACCAAGGAGAGGTGGCAGGGACACCCTGGGCTCCTAGCTTGTCCTCTGCTCCGAGGCTGGAACGTTAGGCAGCAAGGGTGGCCCCTCAACAGGGTGTGAAGGCCCCCAGACGCGGCAGGTACCGAGCATGTATGAGTGTTCAAGAAGTGAGGATGTGATTAGGCTAAGCTGCCGAAGGAGGTGGCGGATGGGGCCCAGCCAGCGGGGCAGCCGCTCCCCGCCCATCCCTTTCCCTCCCCGGCCGCTTGCTCACCTTCCGCAGGGAAGCTGGAGCCCAGGTGGCTCCTGAAGATTCTGGGCTCTTTCTTGACCCCCCTGCTCTCTCCAACCCACTCCCCACTCTTCCTTCCACTGTGCCTGGCTTCTCCAGAGCAAGCCCCACTTCCACACACACGCATGCACGCAAGCACACACACATGCACGCACGCACGTGCACACACGCATGCCTGTTTTTTCTAAGATCCCTTCCTTACCCACATCCCTCCAGCTTATAACCTGGTATTTCTAAGACATCTAAGCAGCATTTCAAACTCACGAAATGGATTTTTAACACACTCCCTGGAACATGAAGCTTCAAACTTAAGAACTTTCTGATGGAAGGTGTTCTTCCTAAGGAGACCAGGATACAGCTCCCACCAGCAAAACATCCTCCCTAAAACCTGGACGCGCTATCACTGTGGAGACAGTGGCACCGTTCTGGAATCTGCTGGGCTTTCGGTCACAAGAGCCTGAGCCAGGACAGAGCCACCAGGGAGGCTGCAGGACAGCCCGAGGGGACAGCCTGAGTGACCCGGGCAGAGCCACTGGCCCTCCCGAGCCTCACTTTCTGCATCTGTAAAATGAACACAAGTCTCCTTCTCCGCTTGGGCTTAAGCGGGTGGAGTGGCGTCCCCCTGAAGAACAGATGCCGCACGTCTGTCCCGCCCCCTCGTTCTCAAGGACTTGTCTCGGTCTTGCTGGTTTTTCTCCACAAGATCATACCTCTGAGCTTGTGTCAGACAGCGAAAGATAGACTTCACGTAACAGATATTCAGCTGGCAGCCAGCTTGGCTGGGACTTGACTCCAGCCTTCTTAGGGAGCACCGGGTCCAACCCCAGCCTCACAGCGAGAGCTCCGACTCGGCCAAGGTCACCGAGCGGCTGTGTGGTGGCGGCAGGACGGCCTGCACTTGGCTGGCCCAGCTCGTGTCCTTGCTTGCACGGAGTCACGGACGCTGTCTCTGTCGTGACCCTCCTCGCTGCTCCCTCTGCCCTCCTCCCAGCCCCCACCAGGCTGGGACTCCAGGCCTCCTGCCTCGGTTTCCCCTCTAGCCCCGTACACCCCCTGCCCTACTCCCCTCCCCGACCCACGACCTTCTCCCCTCTGGAGGCCCAAATCTCAGAGCATAGGTAGCTAAGACAAGGTTAGAAAAAGCCCAGAAGGCACTTTATTGGAGGTCTCTGCCTCCGTTCCCAGGAGAAAGGAGCTAGGAGCCCCCACTGAGGGTCCCAGCCTCACCCCGCCCCTCACCGGCCCCGCGAGAGCCTGGGACAGTCAGTCTGGCCACCAGAGCTCAGCGGGAGAGGGATGGGGAGGGGAATATCTTAGAAAAAATAGCTCTCTATGTACATCCAACGTATTTATAGCACATAAATTAGGGAGTGTTCCGACCCCCGCCCGCGGAGTCCAGGTGCTGGGGGAAGCCAGTCCAAAAGAAGGTGCGGGGGACCCATGCTGTCCCCTCTCCCTGCGCCCCTCCAGCCTGCTCGGCCTCTTTGGCTCAGTCTACACATCTGCAGGAGGAAGGTGTCCACAGCGGAGTCTTGATAGAGTCAGAGGCACCCAGACTCTGAGACGAAAGCAGCTGCCTCCAGCGCCCAGCCAGCAAAGTCCTTCAAACCCAGGGCTTGTAATTCCGAGAGGAGGGCGGAGAGGAGAGGCCGCAGGCCCGAATCCGGGGCCAGGCTGTCAGGGTCCATGAGACTCGGCTGCTTTGCAAAGCGCTGGGCGGCGAGTCTGACGGCGGAGGCCCGGGGTCCTTGTGGGAGGGGCGGCAGGCCTCATGTCCGTGCGTGCATCCCGGCTCTGGTTGGGACCCTCAGTTCCGACTCCCGACGACCTCTTCCTCCTTCCAGCCGCTGGAGTTCTTGCCGAACTTGTAGACCAGCCGCCGGCCGTCCACCCGCTCCAGGATCTCCCGCTTGTAATAGTACCTGGGGGAGGGGGGCGGTCAGAGGGGCTCAGGCAGGAGGGCCAGTTTCCTCAGGTGACCTGCCCCCACGGGGCCCCAGCCCGGCTGACCCGAGCCGGACCCTCTCGGGAAGCTCCCTCTTCTGCCCAGCCCTGGGGAGGAGCTGACTTGGTTCCGACGCGCTGCAACCTGGTCTTGGGTCCAGAGGACCCGGTTTTGCCCTCGCCTTCACGTGTCCGGCTGGCCGAGTCCTGGGGCTCTCGGCAAACCACATGATTTAGGGCTTGGAGGGAACTTCAGGGGCATCCAGCTCACCCTTGATGCATGTACGTAGGGGAAAACCGAGGCCCAGAGACAAGCAGCTTAATGCTTCTGTAGGGGAGGAGCCGGCCTCAGTGTGGGCCTCGGCTACTGCTCGGCCCCTCTCCCTTAGGACGGGCCTGCAGACCACGCCAGGAACGCTGTTGTCAGATGGGGTGACACGGGCACCACGTGCCAGCCTCCCAATCTCCCCGTCTCATTTCACCCAGGCCAGCGTCCTCGTGCCGCCGGCCTCAGAGCTGGCGGAGGCCGTGGTCCCTGGGCCCCGCCGCCCTCACCTCATGGCCCTGCTCAGCTTCTCGTAGGTCATGCTGCTGTTTCTCTTCTTCTGGCCCCACAGCTGGGCCACAGCCTCGGAGCGCAGGAACTTGAAGACGCCTTCCCGCCGGTTCTCCCACTTCATGAGGCCCTCGTTGAGCTCCGGGTGGATGAGGATGTCTCGGATGAACTCCCACAGGTGGGTGCCTCGGGGGGCTGCGAGGACACTCCCATCAGCCTGTGGTCCCGGCGCCCCGCCCACTAATGCCCACGTGCTGGGGTGGCTGAGCCCCTCCCCAGCTGCCTGCTGGACGGGAGTCCCAGGAAGACCGTATCCCACCCAGCCCCACCGTTTCGCTGGCTCAGATATCGATCAAATGTCAGGCTGGGGTACGAGAGCCCCTGAGACACCCCATGGCCTCAAGGAGCTCCCAGTCCCGTGGGGGCCACGGTCACAAAGCAAATGCACCGATGGGTGGGGAGAGCTCGGCAAGGACAGGACACAGAGTGGCCCCAGCCCCGGGGGACGAGGGGACAGCATCCTGGGGAAATACTCCCGACACTAGAAGGAAGCAGCCAGGCAGAGTGTGGGGAGCCTGCGTGCGTACAGCACAGAGGTGGGGAAGTGACGGGGCCACCCACCCGGGGGCTACAGCGGCTGGTGCACCCTTGAGGCCCAAGGCCCATGTTCTCAGACTGGGGGACAGAAAGGCCTCCCCTTGCCGGCCCGGTGTCCAGGGGCCGAGGTTCCTCGCCTGAGCCCACCAAGGCTCTCTGGGCCCTGCCAGCCCCCACCAGCTGCCTCCTCACACCACCGGGCTGTCCCAGCGGGCGGGACGTGGGCATGCGCAGAGAGAGCTGGAGCGGGTGGCAGGACCCTTGGGCTCAGCCCCTCTTGCCTTCCTGCGGGAGCCTCAGTTTCCCCTCCTCTGCAGCACAGCCCAGCCCTGGCCCCGAGCAGCCGCGAGGATGGCCGAGGAGCTCTGGGACAGCCAGCCGGCACAGGAGAAGAGCCCCCGGCCCCCGGCCCCTCTCCGCAGAGCTTACCGTGCTTGCTCTTCTTGCTCTCCAGGCAGTCCCGGGAGTCTTTGCTCAGCTTGCGGGGCCGGCCGCGTTTCCGCTTCCCGTGCTTAGGGTCCCCCTTCTTGTAGTCAGGAAAGGGCTCTATGGAGGGAGGAGGGCGGTCAGCATGGGGGCGTGAGGGGCCGCCCCTCCACAGGAAGACCCTGCGGGAGAGCGGGATGAGGGGAAGGGCAGGCCAGGGCACTGCCTGAGGGGCCACCCTGGGGACGGGGGCTCCCTCCACTCACCGCTGGAGAAGAGCTTGCTGTCGGTGGGATCCAGGTCCACGTCACTTCCACCGGAGTCTGAGGAGTGGGAGCTCTGGGAAGCCCCTGTCCCTAGGGCAGGGAGGGCAGCGTGAGTCCCTCTCCAGCCACTTACCCTCTGCGGGACACGCTGCCTGCCCAGCAGGCTCCTGTCCCTCCCAGAGAGCCTGGATTCGAGTGTGGGTTGCCGAGGGCTCAGGGACACTTGGGGGAAGGGAGGCTGTGACCAAGGGCTCACCTGCGGTGGAGACGTCAGAGTTGCCTGGGGAGGGGGCTCCCACCCCGTAGCTGCCCGGGTAGTAGGGGCTGGCCTGTGGGCAGTCGTCCAGCATCTCCTGGCCGAAGGGGCTTCCCTGGTCTGGAAGAGGAGGGAAGAGCTCAGACAGGGCTCAGAGGAGGGCGGGACAGGGGGCCACCCAGCTGCGGGATGACCTGCTGGTTTTCTAGCTGGGGCCACAGAAATCAGGGCAGGGAGGGCACGGATGCGACAGGACGGGCTGGGGAAGGAGCGAGAAACTGGGTTCTCACCAAAGGGGCCCGGGTCTCCCAGGGTCTCCTGGAAGGTCGTGCTGTCCTTCTCCAGCAGCTCAATGATCCAGCTGAGCTCGTCAGGAAAGCTGGAGGCTGCTGAGAAGGAAGGAAGGAGGGTCAGAGCCCAGGCCGAGTCCCACCCCTCACCCCTCACCCCTCAGGGGCTGTCTCGCTGACTGCATCCACTGGCCTGGGGCTCCGGGTCCTTCCCACGGCCTGCTGACCTCAGCTGGGGGTACGGGCCGACCACTAGACCAGCCTCCGTGACCGAGAAGCAGACGGCAAGAGGCAGACCTCCCCGCCAGTGGCCTGGACTCACTGAGGTCCCACAGCTGGGAATAGAGCTGGTCCCCCAGAGGCCCAAAGACCAGACGCAGCTCCTCAGGGGCGCAGCTGCAGAGCGCGGCCCCGTCCATGTTGCACCGCGAGAAGTCGATGGCGCTCGCGTCGTACTTGTTCTTCTCGACCTGGTAGCTGATCCAGTCCAGCACCTGGGCCTTTGACCACAACTGGGGCTGCTTCCCCGACCAGCTGGCCTTCTCTACAAGGGGCCGGCACGGCGACAGTCAGCTCCGGCCACTGGCAGACCCTCACAGCCCCCTTCCGGCGCCCGTTTGGGATTCTGTGCGCGTCCCCCCTCACCTCTCAGAGAAGCCCCCTCAAGAGCAGGGGTAGGAGGTGGTGGTCTGGTCACCCTTCCCGCACCTCACTTAGACAATCCAGCCCCCACGCCCCTGACACCTCCGCCTCTTACAGGTCCACCCGGCCGCTGGCCCTGGAATTTGCTCGGGAGAACCTCATCCCTGGCTGGTCCCCCATTTACCTAACAGGCTCTTGGATAGATGTCTCCCCCTCCCCCAATCACCCCATTCCACTCTGCTGGGACCCACCTGTGCCCTCCAGAGGCATCTGGGGGTTGCTCAGGGTCAGCACCAGGTCATCGGCCCCAAAGGTGGCAGCAGCGGGCACAGAGGCCAGAGTGGGGTCCTCCGAGCTGTACATAGTGCTGAAGTAGTTGCTGAAAACGTTGCTGATCTCACAGGTCGCAGCCATGAGGCTCCCTGGGGAAAGAGGGCCAGGCTGGTGAGGGGCCGGGTCCTCCCCACCTCCAGCCGTCCTGCTCTAGCCGAGCCTGGGGCCAGAGTAGCCCCAAGGGGCGGGAAGGTCAGCGCTTCCTGGGATACCTTCTCTCCAGGATCTCCGAGCCCGGTGGGGGCCCAAGGCTCAGCCCACCTGGCCCTTGGGTGGGACTGGCAGAGTCGTGGCCACGCTGTCCCCCTAGGGACACTCTCACTACCCGACACTCCTGCCTGGGCACTCTGCACCACGTTGCCGCAGTGGCCAGCTTAGAGCTGCAAGTCCATGGGACCCCTACCCGATTTCCCGAGGCCCAGGCTGGGGAAGACGGCAGGTGGAGGTCCTACCGGAGTGGCGGGTACGGGCGTGGAAGGCAGCCAGGCAGACGGGATTAAGGGACAACAGGCAGGAGAGAAATCCACACGAGGCACAGAGTTCCACAGGTAGGCGCCAGCCCGTCCCCCACCACCCTAAATAGAGGCAGCCGGAGCCCCTCCCGGCCCAGCCTTTATAGCGCACCTGCGTCACCTGAGCTGGCGGCTCATTGGACGAGGGGATTTCCTGGCCTTTAGAATGGGCTCCTGGCCCCGGGTGATTTGCATATTTTGTGCCACTTGGCCTGGATCCGAGCAGGCGGTGCTGGGAAATCAGGCCCGGCTGGTTTAATGATTGTCAGAGTCTGTCACCCCGCACCCTCTGGGGTTGGGCACAGGGCACTGGCCTGGGCGGGCGGCGGGAGAGTCGCCGGGGTGGGCATCTGTACTTTCGGCCACCCTCTGGCTCAGGAAATTCCTCACGGGGGCCAGGCCAGGGATGGGCTGGGGAGGGGAGGGGCGGGCGGGGGCCCTGAACCGCTGGCAGAACTGGGTCACCAAGGGTGCTAGCCCCCAGCAGCCTGGAGATCTGAGGCCAAGGGGCCTGGTAGGGAGAGAAGTACGGAGACGTGGAGATTTTTCCCGCCACGCCCAGGATTCAGGCTGGAAGGCTTTCCAGACGTGGCAATGTTCACGGGCTACTGGTGGTGGGGGGGCGGCCGGCCACTCGCTGGCATCCACTGTGCCGGCAGGGTCTGGCATATTCTCTGCCTGCTCAGGCCCATCCACCTCGGGGTTGCTGCAGCCACTGCTGGAGAGACCTCACTCTGCCTGGACCTCTTCCCTCCGCCCCTGACCGACCCTCGGTGCCCCAGCTGCTGGAGGTGCTGGAATCCACATGCATGCGTTTATCTTCCATCTCCTCTCCCTCTCCCCTTACCCGCCCAGGTCACTAGAACCGGCCTGCCACCCTCTAGTGGTCAGAGGCCTGAATACGGGGTCACGCCGTTCAAAGGAAAAGGGAAGGCTCAGTATGAACTGACTGTTTACAGGCGCTTTCAACCTCCTCTCCATTTAAACCTCACAAAGACCCTGGAACGGACGTGTGGCTCTCTCCACTGTGTAGACAGAAAATTGCTGCTCGGAAGGGCTGGACAAACCGCCAAGGCCACGCGGAGCCAGCTAAGTGGTGGGGCCGAGATTTAAACCCACCTGCTGGTGCTCTTTCCCTCCCCAGCCTCTCCTGGCGTCGGGGTCCTATGCTGGCCTCTGTGCCCCGAGCCCTCGCCTTCCCTCTGTGCAGAGCGAGTCCGTCATGTCTGTGGTCATGAACTCAGCCCAGAACACCAGGCTCCGGGGCCAATCGACCTGCTGGAGACCCTGGGCTGGGCAGGGCAGCACACAGGAGTGGGGAGGCAGGAGATACCCCGCCCCCCCGCAATTATGTGGTCTTGGGGGAGACGTGGATTCCCCATCTGTAAAAACAGGTTCTTTGGACTTAACCATCCCCAAGATCTCTTCCAGACCTGGTGTCTTATGCACCTAAGATGTCGGATTGGAGTGTCTCTTTCCCACCTTTCTGGGTGGTCTGTGGCCAAGCTTGGCCTCGGAGGGCAAACAGACACGGTGACCCCACTGCCGGAGCCAACTGCTTCTTTAACTCTCAGCTCGAGGACCGAGAAGCTCATCTTGGGGAATCACCGTCTCACCCTCCTTGTCTCTGAATCCACTGGGTGCCCAGGAGAGGGGGTTACGGCCCAGGGCCCCCTCCACTGGGCCAGGGGTGGCCGAGAGCCCAGTTGGCCCTTCAGGGGGCCTCCCCCAAGGAGCCCGAGGCGGGCACACCCTCTGCCCAGTCCTCACCCTGGAATGTGGGAGAACCGGCTTCAGCCCCAGGACTGCTCACGTGCTCTCTGGCCCCGGAGAACACCCGAGGCTGAGGCTCGGGGCAGGATGAGAAGGGAGTAGAGGAACAAGGAGGGCAGCAGTGCCCTTGCCTTCATGGGGCTTCACGGGAGGAAAGGGGCTGAGACTGGGAGTTCCTATAGGCTGCCATCTACCTCCATCAGCAGAAGGCCCCGTAGGGAGGGATGTCACAGAAGCTAAGTGCGAGAGACTGACATTTGAGGTCAGTGCCTTGGAGGGGAGGGGAGGGGGATGGGAAGAAGGTTGCAGAATAGTGGTCAGAGGATCAGAGGAGCCGTGGAACAGGGTCTTCCCAACCCCTGCCAAGGGCAACAGCCCACTGCCCGTCCCCACAGAGCTGGCCCAAACAGCACACGGCCTCTTCTTCAGGATGGAGAACAGCACGAGCATGGCCCCCCAGCCTACGAGAGGACAGGCACACCCAGCAGGACTTTGTCAGGTGGAAAGGTGGGGAACGGGGCAGGGAACGCCACCCAGGACACACACGTCGTGGGACTTGAGGGCTCACGGGTCGTGGAGTCAGAGTGGCGTCGAGGAGGAGCCCCGGCCTTCTGCCTCCACGGTGACCGTTCATTGCTCTGGGCTCCTCAATGCTACGGGTTTTTGTACAGAACAAGGAAAGACAGCCCCTGGTCGCAAGCGGGGGTGGCATCTGGATGGCCCCAAAACAGTCCTTGCCGATGACGTATTGTCAGGAACAGCCCCAAAAAAACTAGAGAAACAGGTTGCTACCCAAACGCCAGGGCCCAGAGGGACTCTGAACCCTGGGCCTCCAAATCTGCTGGGGACGCCCGGCGTGCGGGGACCAGGCCGTCGCCCGCCACCCCCTGCACCACGGCACCCTGCTTCTGCCGAGACTGAGAGCGAATCCATCCGTGGGGCTCTGCTCCACTGGGAAGGGAAGGGCCTGTCCTGGGAACCCTGAGGCCAAGGGCAGAGCTACGTGGGGACCGGCTCAGGACAACGCTGTGTATAGGAAAGGCAACTTAAGCATACGTATTAAGTATGTCCTTGCAGCCCTCCCCTCATCCCACACCCACCACCTAAGCTGCTGACACCTTAGACCCCACGTGGAACCCAGGAGCTCAGAGCTTCATGCCGAGTTCTGAACAGATTCATCGCCATGCCATTAAAATAGTTGTCTGGGGCCAGAGGCGAGGCCCTAGGGACAGTGAAAAGGACAGAGAAAGGACTCTAAAACGCACGTTTGGGTTCTGGCGGTGGAAAAGATGAGCAGGAATGAGGTCGCAGATGGAGAAGTCACCTGCTTCATACAGAACTGGGAGGCAATTCATTTGTGCCTTTTTCCTGCAACGGCCACGCTATGGCCATGCCGCCTTGTATGATTTCTTGCGCCTGTGCAGGAGCCCTCCTTTGGCCTGGGAGTTCCCTAAAGACAGGCAGACACTCATCGTCTGGGCGCCCCCCAGAGACCTTCTCAGGACACCTGCCCGCAGAAGGGACACCCAGAGAAGAAATCTCACAGTCGCTCAATCCATCACTCCCACTCAGATACTTTTCACTTAAAAATATTTATTAAAATGAAGAATGAGCCTGAAAAAAGTATTATCAGAAAGCATCCCTTTGCATATTACTTCCAGAATCAGCAAAAGAAGGAAAAGAATGAAAGAAATCCGCTCTGCCTTCCCCGGAGACTCCAGCGGGAGGACGGAGAGGACTGGTGGCCCGCTGTGGAGAGCCACGGGAGGGCCCGGTCTCAGGATTTGGGGACCAGAGAGGCGCCCGCCAGGCAGAGGCCCCCGGTCGCAGATGCCAAGCCCAGAGAACAGAGGATCAGAGGAGACACAGGCTTCGGGAGGGTGAATTCGGCTGGAGAGCTGGGGTTCGGGCATGACGACCCTGGAAGCTGGCAGTGTCTAGGAGGCGGCGGCCACGCCCAGGAGCCGCTAACTGTCCTTGGGCGCCAGGATCTGCTGGATGTAGTTGACAACATTGCTGTGGAGCTGGGAGGCGGTGGCCGCAAAGGTCTCCTTGGCGAGGGCCTGGGCCACCTCGCTGCCACCCATCATGGCACGGTACAGCGGAAGGGTGTACTTCTGTTTCCCCTGCAAGAAACACAAGCGCGCGCAGCCTCAGCGGCCTGTTCGGCGGGTCTGTGCCGCCCCCTGGCCCCAAGGACAGCAGTCACGGCAGGTCCAAAAGGGATATGGGGTCAGCACTGGAATGAGGGGCTTCCCAGACTGAGCACTCTTGTTCTGGCATCTTCTTGGGGCCAAAGATCCGTGCAGACAGACCTCAGCATCCCCCTCGATCCGTGATGGCAAAGGATGTGTACGCTCAACAACATGAAGGGGACCCAAACCTGGAGAGAGCTGCAAGTGCTCAGCCCCCAAGTCAGCAGCGGGGGGCGAGGGCTGCAGCGCATGATACCGGGGCCGTGCACGCTCCCACGGCAGCCAGGCCAAGCAAAGACACGGGGCAAAGGCATGGCAGCATGCGACACATCAGAGTCCCTGCAGACAAGGGGACGCCTTCAGAGGCTCAGGACACCCTGCAGGGCCGCAGCACACAGACGGGGGAGACTGAGCATGGCTTCTGTGCAGCCCGCTCCTCCCGCTCTGCAGTCTGAGGACGGCCACCTTCAGGGCCCCAGCCCGGCCCCAGCAGTGTGACTCTCACGGCTGCCCCAGGACCCGGCTGGCACCTGAGCCTCCCAAGGCTCCTCTCCCCAGGACCAGCCCCCCGACGCAGGACCCCGCTTCCCAGTTTGGGGATCGCTCCCACCAGCTGTTCTCCCTCCGGCCTCACCAGCTGAGCTGCAGGGGGCTCCCTGAGTCCACAGGCTTCTTCCCCACCGGGCTGCGCCCCCACCAGCCACGCTGAGAACAAGGCTGCTGGGAGGATCCACCGAGGCCCCTCCCCCGGCCTCAGCTCCAGGGCTAGTCCAGCCCCGAGGCCCACCGTGTGCCCCAGAGGTCGCCCACCGTGTGCCCCAGAGGTCGCCCACCGTGTGCCCCAGAGGTCGCCCACCGTGTGCCCCAGGGGTCACCCACCTGGCTCTGCAGGAATTCCTTCACCTTCCAGAAATCCTCCTGGTGGTCATTCTTAAGGACAATCTGGCCCCACCGGAGCCTCAGCTCTGCATTCCGGGAGTCGGAGACCTTTGGGTACGTCTCTCCGAGTTTCTTCACGTTCCCTGGAAACAAGAGATGGGTCACTGATGATGCAGAGCCATGTGTCTGAGGCCAGACTTACCCCAGAGGCGAGGGGCCCCACTCTCGGACTCTGCACATCTGCCCGCAGCCCTCCCCAGGTCCCAGGAACCACCTCAAGGCGTCCCGACCACCCGCTTCCGCTCCCGTCGCTCCTTCACGCTCCTGACAGTAAAGGCCTCTTCTCCCATTGCCCTTAATTTCTAAGGCTCTTCCACCAAACTCCTCTTAACGTTATCACAGACCTTCTGCAATCATCCTATTTGCCTTTCGCGACCAAAGCACACACACCCCCAGTACATCCTGCCCCACTTTTTCTCCTTCCCCGACCCTGTTCACGCTCATCCAGGCTTTAACCTTTTTTCAGAACGACACGCTGGTGGACAGCCTTTCTGGCTGAGCAGCAACAAGGCCTCAGTGGTTCAGAGCTTCCGCCGCCTGGGTCCGAATCCCAGCCCCGCCACGGACTGGCCGTGGGCCCTCGTGGGCCCTGGGCTCCTCCTCCATTACCTGGGATCCCAGTCACAGCACCGACCCCACAGAGCGGCGACGAGGATGAAATGACTGGACAGATGTACAGGGCTCAGAAGAACTGCCCGCACACCCCGAGGACGCACTGAACACTAGGCTTTCTGTTCTGTCCCCAGGGCGTTTGTGTGGATGACCCCCATCCTTCTGCGGCTGCTCTGCCCACTGCCACCCTCCCTCACTCCTGGCAGTCCCCGGGGCGGGCGCCACAGCGGCTTTTCCCGAGTCTCCTCCGGCCGCTGACATCCAGCTCTGCACACAGGAACTCTGATCACCCGTAGAAGAAAGCAGCCCCTCTCCTTACCGGGAGGGAGGGGTAACTTCTGAAGGATCTGATCCAGGAAGTAAACCAGCTGGTAGGTCTTCCAGGTAGAGATGGCCACAGCCTCAATGGCCTTCATGTCCAGCTCCTTGGCCACCCACAGCTGGGCCAGCTCTTCGGCGGGCTTCATGAGTGAGTCCCCAGGAGAGAGATCAGGGAGGTAGGGGGGCCAGCCAGGGGTATTCAGCCATCGATCAAACTCAAAGCCTGTTTGGGAGAAGAGAGAAGACACCGTCAGGACCCTCGGGCAGCGTCGCGGGCAGCGTGCCCAAGCAGCTCCCAGAGACCTCGGGCTCCTGCCTGCCTCTCTCCGTCCATAGGGGACACCACTCTCCCACGCAGCCACCTGCTCCCAGGGGCCCAGCAGCAATGACACCTAGAGACGGTCAGAGTTAGACTGGACTGCCCCCTTTTCTACTGTGAGAATGTTTTTAGCTCCACATCAACACGGTGCTGTCAGAGCCGGTGGACGGATGCTCTCCGAGCTTCATTCAAGGTCACGTCCTCCCCAGATGACCAGCATAGCACAGGGCTGAAGCCCCTGGCCTCCAGGACCAGGTTCCGGGGCTCCTACCCCAGCTCTGCCATCACTCAGCTGGGAGGTCCCAGCAAGTACTTCACGTCTCTGCACCTCAGTTTTACCTGTAGAATGGGGGTGAGGGGCCCCGCCTGGGCGGGCAGCTGTGAGGCTCAAACGCGCAAGAAGAACTCAGCACACTGCCTGGTGCGCAGTGGGCACTCAGCAATTATTATCCACCATCAGTTACAGAGCCTCCTGACCTTGGAGGGCGGCCTCCAACCGGAGGGTGGGTGCAACGGGGCCGGAGCAGCCCCGGCCGTCAGGGAGGCTGGCTTTACCCAACCATTGATGGAAACCACCGAGGCAGCTCCCAGCACTGTGGCAGTGTCTCCTGGGCTGTCACATCCATGACAGGACCTTCTCCACTCTCCCTCACGAGCAGTGCCTCCCGAGCCGAAGTCAGGGCGGCCACCGGGACTGTCCTTCCTTTAGAAGGCAACTCCACCCTCTTATGGCTGCTGCTGTCGCTGCCTGGGCGTTTCAGCTAGGGCAGCAGAGTTATAGGTCTCCCTGTGCGTGTCCAGGAGCGAGCAAGGAAAGCAGGGGGAGGAGGAGCTGAGAGAAGTGGCTGTGCAACAAGGCCCAGCACCCTGTTTGTTCCCCAAAGTGCCAGGACCGGGTGACCTCGAAGCCATCTTTTTGCACCCCACCTGGTCTTTGCAAAAGTAAACCAGAGAGAATTCTCGCATCGCCTAGAAGCCTGTGGGCAGGTTCCTCACTCACCTGGAATGGAATCCACCTTCCTTTTCTTCAGCTCAGGGAAATATTCCAAGAAGAATTCCAGAAAGTCATCAGCTAGGATGCTTTGGAATTTAAATTCATTGACATAGGCCTGTGAGGAGAGAGGGACTTTCAGTTACTCGGGGTCCCGTGGCGGGGGGGGGGACCCCGTTTCTCAGGGCGTCCACCCTCCGACATGGCCCAGCTGCCTGACTGGTCACTCCTCCTTCCCGCCCATCTCTGGGCTGCCCATACCTTGAGAAAGTTGTCAAACTGTGCCTGGTCACCCACCAAGTGGGCCAGGTACGAGACAAAGCAGAAGCCTTTCTCGTAGGGGGTCTCATTGTAGGTGTCATCCGGGTCGACACCTGCAGAGGAGGCAGACGGGACCTGACGCTGGTGACCCCTCGCCACCTGGTCCTGCTCGGGCCCCCCGTTCAGAGGAGAACGGGAGACATCAGAGCTCAGCGTGCCCAGGGCCGGCAAGGCCAGGGATTTTCCAGACCCATCCCGGCCTCTCCGGGGCCCTTCAAAGGCGACCCTAAAGGACCATTAGCTGTGGCCTCGATAGGAAGACACAGACCCCAGCCTCCCGTGCGGTCTGGCCAGCTCCCTCGTTCCTGGAAATGCTTTGCCTGGGCACTTCCATCGACTCAGGATGGAGGGCTCCACGCCTCTGCAGCCCTGCTGGGCTCCTACACTCACGTCCCCTCCCAGAAGAAGGGGCTGTTTCTACGAATGCTCTGGGACTAAAATAAACGGATTACCAGTCTACAAGAAGCTCATTTTCATAGTCAGTGGCACCAGGGAATGGGAGCTTCAGTTGCACAGAAAGCTTTTCGGTTAGTCACACGCGAGCTAAAGAGCAATGTTAGCAAACACACGCACGCGACCTTGGACAAGTCACTTAACTTGTTGGGCGCTCAGTCACATCCTCTGTAAAGGAAGGCTAACACTTGAGCTACAAAACCCACAGGTCTGACTTGACGACAGAAAAGGAGTGGTAAAGAGTCTCATAAAGCGACATGGACCTGTACGAATGCAAAGCGACAGGGAAGTCATTAGGAACCGCACAGAGCCGGACAGAACTCGTCTCTGCCGGATCGGCCACGGCCCCCGCTGCCCAGGGGCTGGGGAACGGCTGCCAGGAGCCCCGAGGGCTCCTCCCGCTGGTCACCACGGCGCTCGCCAGCGTGGGCTCCAAGCTGGCTAGGGGAGGGGTGGGAACAGGAGCCGCGGACCTGGTTCGATCTTCACCCGGAGCTTGTTGAGCGGGTTCTCCTCGCCGCTGACGTCCATGTGCTGCCGAAGCAGAGCCCGCCCAGTGGCGGCTTCCAGGCAGGTGTAAGCGGCCCCTGGGGCAGAAAGAAACCACAGGACCAGAAAGCTTGTCACCGCCTCCCAGCACGGTTCCTGGCAGGACAGGCTGTGCTGCCCCCTCGCGGCCACAAGAAGAACGATGCCAGACACCTGAAGCTGACCACTGCCACCCCCTGGGGCCCCGTCACCTGCCCTCCCACCAGAGACCCTGACTCTGTAGCCCCAGCTCTCATGGCTCTGGGCTACGAGGCGCTTGGCTGGCTGGGGCTGTCGGGCTCTGCCCTACGTGAGGACTGGGGTCCCACCTTTCCCTCTGACAGTTACCTCCACAGCCATGTATTTCTATTTTTAGAGATAGGAATGTGATCTTCTATGAAAACAGGGTATCTTCATCTGTCTGTTCCCGTCAGACAAGAGAAACTGTCACCCACAGCTGTTCCAGGGGTCACTGAGTCTCCTCCTGGCTCTAAGGTGGCAGGGAACGGTGGAGGGGAGGGCACCAGGTCTCAAGCAGCAGCTCTGCCCCTTACGATGCTGCAACTCTGCACACCTGACTTAACCTCTCCTGGCCTGTTCCTCCGTCTGCACCCTGGGATGACAACACGGGCCTGCGGGACTCTTGGTGGCTGTTCAGGACATTCACAACTAGGCTCCTGCTTGATACACTTGGGAGGAAAGCGGAAATCTGAACAAACTTTCTGGGAGGCAACGGATGACATGAGCTAAAAAGCCTTTAACATGTTCAGGTCCAAAAACGATGTTTCTAGGAATTTGTCCTTATTGAAATCATCTGAGAGATGTATTAACATTCATACATAAAGACATTTGTCAAAATGTTATTTCATCGGAAAATTGGAAACAACCTATTGATTGAATAAATTACGAAACATCCATACTATGCAGCTGCAGAAGAAAATTCAATGACTTGGGAAAATGCGTAACTTGATTAAGGTGAAAAAAAAGGCAGCTGGAAAACCATGTGCGGTCTGATGACTCGCACACGCAGAAAAACGTCTGAAAGGACATCCATTGATTATCTCCAAACAGCGAGATTATGGATAATTTGTGTGTGGGCCCTCCATTTACACCAAAATAGATTTCAATCAGAGAAATAATAAAAATAACAAATGTTATATTTTTAAAAGCATGTGATGCATGGTGGGTTTTCAATAACGAGAGGGTTGAGAAAGCCTTTTGAAAGCACACCTGGGCTCGACTCGAGGTTGTGCCTTCCTTTGCTAGGTGGCCCGGGCACACTTGTCCACCCTCTGAGTCACAGTGAACTCATATACAAAATGGAAATAGTAATGATACCTGTTTTGTGGGGCTACCGTGAAATTGTCAAATGATGAGTGCTTTCTCGGGTGCCTGCGACAGAGCGGGTGTGCAGGTGTGCAGTGGGAGGCAAGGGCTATAACACTCTCATGATTCACGCAGGAAATCAACGAGCTCTCTGCGTGGACGACCCTGGGCAGCTGACCCCCTGAGGCTGGGCCCGGCTGTAGGGAGAGCAGAGCACCAAGTGTGGGCTCTGCTTGGAGGAGGGGTCCTTTCCCTGTCAGTTCCCCTCGGGGTTCAGTCAGTGAGATCCCTCCCCGACTGCCCTGGCAGATTCAGCAACCTGCAGTGAAGCGGGAAGCATTTACTTAAACAGCTTTTGTCCAGAGTTAGTCCTCTATGGCCTTTCACTGGAGCTTTCTGCATGACTGCCACCGCCCTTCACGCCCACTTGTATTCAGAAACCCCCAAGGGAGGCAACAGTGGCCTCACAGGCTAAGGAAGCGGGGACAGGGTCCTGCGGAGCAGGCAGGCAGAGAGCCGGCTTACCAAACAGCATGGTGGAGATCCTCCGCTGGGCATACATGGTGAAGCCTTCGTTGAGCCAGAACTCACCCCAGTTGGCATTGGTGACCAGGTTCCCAAACCAACTGTGGGAGATCTCATGGATGATGACATCGGCCAAGGAGCGGTCCCCTGCTAGCAGGCAGGGGGTGACAAAGGTCAGACAAGGGTTCTCCATTCCTCCGAACGGAAAGGATGGTGGCATGAAGAGCAGGTCGTACCTGCCAAGAAGGCGAGAGGTCATGGAACGGCTGCCCAGGGTGGACTCTTGCTCCCTTCCCAGCCATGACTCTCCCAGCCTCCTTCCAGCCCCAAGAGATGCCGCCACTGAACAGGCACCGTTCGTCCCTGGGCCAGCACCTCAAGTGACACCCAGCCTCCTCAGTCCCGCTGCCCTGTGGCCCCCCGGCTTGCTGGGACTTCCGTCTCCCAGGGGGCTCTTGCTGTCATGGAGACAGCTCTCCAAAACCTTCTGCTCTTGGTACATTTTCAGCTCTATCACACTGAGCCCACAGGTGGCCCACTTGGGGTCACAAAGACCTTAAGAAGCCTTTGGTTTAAGGTTTAAAGTCTGAAGATGTCAAAGAAGAAAACGGAGCATGGGGCTGCTTCCAGGAAAGATAAGTCAGCAAAGTCCCCTGCCAGCGTTTCTTCAAACTCAGCAACTGCGGGGCACGCGTCCCTCACTCCAACAGCCCCCCCACCCACCCACGGTCCCTCCTCCCCAACAGGGAGCAAGGCCTCACTGATCCTCCTCCTCTCCCTCTGGCCCTCACGTCTGGGGCTGGGGCACTTGGCTCCAGGAGACAGAAGGACAAGAAAGCAGCACCAGATGGGGGACAGCAGGAAAGCGGGGTCTCCGCTGGACAAGAGACACCAGAGTCAAGGGCATACCACACCTGCCCCAAACGTAGGGTCCAAAAAGTTTCTCCCCCGTTGCCAGAAATTCTTCTATGAGCCCGTTGTACTCCTCCTTGGCGGCCTCGATCAGGCAGGGCTCGGCCCACACCCGGCTCCTGGAGATGAGGACACAGAGAGAGCAGAGTGCTGCTTAGGGACCATGGTGGTGACCGATCGTGAAAGCCCCTGCAGAAAGCTGGCCCCCGTCTCGTATCTGAGCCAAATACACGTGACAGTGTGGCAGCCACAGAGCCAGGAGATGCAAGATCAGGTCACATGCACAGACCCCAGAGACTGCTCATCACCTGGAGACACTGCACCCATGACAGTCCCGGGGAGGGCCCGGGGAGGTGGGGACTGCCCCTGGGCTCAGACCCACAGGGCTACGATTTTATGACTATGACATAGACTGCAATGTGGCAAAAGTTATCCAACCCTCTGAACCTCAGCTTCCTCATCTGTAAAATGAGTGGTGGGGATGACATCACACAGCACAGAAAGCCCCTCATCCAGTGGCTTATAGAGTAAAGACGGTTTCCTGCTCCTGGCTCTCAGAAGAGATTCTCATAATAGAATCTCCGCAATGGAAAGACACTTTAGAGATAAGCCTATTAACGGGAACGTGTTAACTGCCTCCGGTGGGTAACGGGGCGTGGCTCTGAGGGGGAAGGTGTGTGCTGGGGAGAAGCATCCTGATCTGCTGGCTTTCAGACGGTCCAGCAAGACCAAAACCAAACCTACACACAAAGAAGACATACGGCAGAAGGCGTGGACATACAGGTGCTCAACGCATCATCCTTTCCATTTTCTGTAGGAATTTTTCATGATAAAAAGATGGGGAAACAGAGGTGAAAAGTGGGTAGAAGTTAAGCAGATCCAACCCAACGAAGGTCAAGGCCGAGAGGGACGTGACCGGCCCAGGCCGATGGCTGAACTCCAGGGTGACCGGACCCCGAACCCAAGGATCCTGTAGCCAAGAGCACCTGCTGCTCCGCGGAGCCGCTCTCCCACCCGACACGCTGAGTCGACAGCGGCGCACCGGGTTCGAGGCAAGGAGGAGGAAGGGCCTCTTCCCACCCCTGCAGAACCTCAGGAGCCGCTCCAGGAGGAGTGGGGCAGAGACACAGTGCCGGGCGCTTCCCAAGCAGCAGATGCAAAGGCCTGGCCGGGAAAACTGCTCGTGCAGGTGCGATGGCTGAGCGTCTGGGCCCTCCTGAGAGCTCACACTCAGATCAAGGCAGGGGGTGGGGGGGGCACAGGTGGGAGGGGCCCGCAAGGCTCAGAGGCTCAGGTCACGAGGGCCTCAGGGGCTTCATCACACAGCTGGACCTGCAGAGCTTCAGGGTGTTCAAAGCCAACGAGTGACATATGTTATCAGACTGACGGAGATCAGAAGAGCTCACTCGGACAGCCGAGCACAGAAAACACGTTAACCTACAAAAGTGCGTGAGCTTCCCAAGCAAAACACACAGGAGGGAAGAGTGGGTCCAGGACGGAAGCCGGGGCCACCACACACGAGGCGCTGGGCAGAGAAGAGTGCACAAAGGACCCCAGAACCAGGACAGTCGTGTCACGAAGCCAGAGGAAGGTCAACAGAGGCCGATGATGAAGAGCAGGATGCTAAGACGAGGGCCGGAAAGTACCCGTGTGTCGTTCGTGTTGAGGCCAATGGGCTCTCTCACGACAGGGGTGTCAACGCATGATGGGGACTGGATCCCAGCCCAGTGCACAGGGCGCGTGTGTCCCCTCCTCTGTAAGGAACGCGGCAGGAAGGGAAGGCGGGAGCTGGGGGAGACTGTGGAGTCAGTGCGTCTGGGGTTCAAGCTTATTTTCTGCTTTGTTTTGGAGAGCCTGGAACAGGGCTGGGGCTGGAAGGAGGTGGGGCTGCGATCTGAAGGGAGGGGTGGGCGAGGAAGCAAAGAGCCGAGGATACAGGGAAGGAGTGAATCTCGGCCCGGACTGGCTTTAAACAGAAGGAAGGACCCTCGTCAGGGTCCAGAGGGCCGAGGGAAAGATGAGAGCCCATGAGGATGGCTTTGTCCCTGGAGGACGGGACACTGACGTAATCCTATCTGACTGACGGATCCAATATTCTCAGTGAGGGAGGAGATGAGGTCATCCTCCTGGAGTGAGGCTCAGCAAGATACACAAAAGGACAGCTGAGTGACACTGAAAGCACAGCTGGGGCTGAAGACTACGTTTGTTACAGTTTTCTTGAAAACCACCCAAACATCTATTTCAACTTTTCTTTAATTCCAACTTTTCACCAAAAACCCAGCACTGTGTAGCGGTACCAGTGCAGTTTCGTTATTTTCTCCATCTCTTGAAGACCCACAGAAGAGGGGGAGGGGAATTGCAGGACCCAAAGCTGCGTGTCACAGCAGCAGGACACACACAGCAAGGTGGCCTGGGGTGTTGAGGCAGATGTGATCGACACACGCCTGGGCCAAGGAGAGAAGTCGGGCCGGAGAGCTGACCGCCCAGGAGGAGAGGCTCAGCATGCCAAACGGAGGCCTCCAGGAGCTAGAGGAGCAGAAACAGTGGGAGCAAGGCCACCAGAGGGCTGGAAGGTCAGCAGGGTGGGGTCAGAGAATGAGCGAGCTCAAGGTGTCTGAGATTTCCAACTCAGTACAGTTCACAATAACCCTAAGTCCAGCCCTCGGGCCTTGAGTGTGGCCCGGAGTGTGGGAACCCAGGGTGTTAGATGTGTCATCACGCAGAGAAAAAAGTCACCAAAGATGACGCGACAGGGTACCCGGCTGAGAAAGGACCACGGCACAGGAGTCAGTCTTCAAGGAATGAGTCTGTGAACTGTCCCCTCCCCAGCGTGGGCATCATAATTAACAACGTCCTTCCACCCACGGCACCTCAGCTTGCTACAACCAGAAGGTGCAGGCGGGGCTGGATAGCGGACATCCAGGATATTTCCGCTAGTACTGAGATTTCTGTCAGAAGAAACCAGGATGCTCTCAGTCAGGCTGGAATCTCATCGCCAGGATTGCAGTGCACGGAGCACCGGATCTGCAATAGAAATACTTGGACGGGAATTCCAGCTCTGCCAACCATGCGACTTTGCACAAGCCATTTCATGAAACCCTCACTATGCTTACATGTGAGATGGAGACAGCACTGATGCCCTCACTGAGTCTGTCAAGGATCAGAAGACAGTATGCATCAGAGGGACTGCTGCGAGATACCCATTACTCTCTTCTGCCCAGGATTTCCTGCTGGGGTCACAGGCACTGGGACTGGAGCCACACTCTGCTAGGGGCCCTCCCAGTCAACAAACCCCGACAAGACCCTAAGATGTGACCCAGGAGGCCAGGACTGTCCATCTGACGGGGGAAGGAATACACCAGCACCACCAGTTAAATGGATCCTGTCACCTGGACTGAAGTACCGTGTTGTCATTTGACTACATCATTCTCTTTTCTTTTTTCTTTTTTTTTTTTTTTTTTTGCTTTTTCTCCCTAAATACCCCCAGTACATAGTCATGGATTTTTTAGTTGTCGGTCCTTCTAGTTGTGGCATGTGGGACGCTGCCTCAGCACGGCCTGGTGAGCGGTGCCATGTCCATGCCCAGGATCCGAACCAGCGAAACCCCAGGCTGCCGAAGCAGAGCACGTGAACTTAACCAATTGGCCACAGCGCCGGCCCCTGACTACATCATTCTCCAGTGTATTCAGGAAACAGGTTCTCTCATCTCCCACTCCTAGTGCGTCTCTCACTAACCCACCGCAGTCAGTTCTCTCCAGGGACATTCTATACTTATCTATTTTCCTGTCAACTGCAAAGTGGACCCTTGTTTGGTTACCCGCTACCCTCTCCGCCAGGAAGGCAGCGCTCCATGAAAGGAGGCACTGGTCTAGCAGGACTGGCCTCGTTTGGAGAGGGCGTGCTGGCAGCAGATGCCGATGGGATCCCAGCCACTCCCTCTGATAGCGAGGAAGCAAGATTCATCGTCCTGGCAGTGCCACTGAGCCTGGTTAGGGGGTCTGAGGCTTGTAACTAGTCCTGGCAAGGACACCACCACCTCCAGGAATGGAGAGCAGGGCCAGAGAGGAAGCACACGGCGGAGCCAGGAAAAGGGTCACGGTGCCACTGTGCAGCCTCTGATCCTCTCGTGTCAGGATTAAGCCATCCTGGCAGATCATATGACAGCCAGCAAGAACCCAGCTAACTGCATGCTCTCTCTGTCACACAGGTTCAGATTTATGCATCTGGAGCAGACAAAAAAAGGAGCTCCCATTGTCCTCCCTACAGAAAAACAATGGGATCAAAGGCGTACTTTCCAGGAATTAAGCACGAGAGAAAATAGGGAGATTTAGTAAAAAAGATAAAAAAGTGAGTATAGTTGCCAGAAGGGAATTTAGACTTAAAGATACTAATAAAGATCAGTCCTCTACAACCGCTGCCTATGCTGCAGTGTCACCCTGCAAGGTGGCCCAGGACCGAGGGGGTCGGGTCGCATTCCCGACAGCAGGGCTAGAACTGGGGGGAGGGAGGGAGAGAGGCAGGGAGGGAGAGAGCACAGCCACCAGCTGCAGGAAGACTCAGAGAGGGTCCGAGACCACCCCCAGGACCACCCCCCCAGCAGGTCCTCCAGTCAGAGGCCTCCTGCCTCAGCGGTCAAGCCATCCTTGTCCGCAGGGTCTCGGTCTCCTACCTGGGTCCAACTTCAGCCGAAACCAGGTCTCCAACGGCCAAGGCTATCAGATAGGAGGGGATGGGGTGACTCATCTGGAAGAAGAACTTATTTGGACCTCTCTTCTCCCAGGTGTCAGCGCTCATCACGGCTGTGAAGCCATCCGGGACCTGCCAACAGGGAAAGCTCAGGAGGTCTCCCCTGGAGAGACTCTCCCTCTGAGTAGCTGGGAGCACAGCATGGCCAGCAGCCTGCGTGGTGGTGATCACAACCTGGAGCCCATCTTGGGGAGCACCAGGGTTCCAAGAAACCAAACTTGTGCTAAATGGATGGGATTTAGCACAAATAAGATTTCCGTAGGTGGAGGAATTTTTCAGAGGTGCCACTGGAGGGAGGTAATTATTTACCAGTAGAATGTGACCTGAGAGATCTGAAACTGTCTTTCCAACCCCAACGCAGGTACCCTCGGCCCTACCCTCTTACCTCAATAAGAGCTGAATATTTAGATTTCACGGCAGGGGTGTCGAAGCAAGGGAAGAAGGCCCGGTTTAGGACAGCCTGACCCTGGGTATAGAGGAAGGGCTTCTTCTTTCCTGCCGTCTGCTCAGGAGCCAACCAGCAAACCTAAAAGAACAGAACATTTCAGAACCGACACCCCACAGAGGAGTTCAGCAAACCCAAAAGAACGGAACATTTCAGAACTGACACCCCGCACAGGAGCTCAGCCCAGCCACAGAAAAGGAGTCGGCCAGCAGGAAGAATTTTAGAGAATCCTTAGATCTTGCGGCCGGCCAGTTTGGCTCCGTCTAGGAAGTTCTCTCCTACTGTGTGTTTAATCCATCTGGGAGCCATGCCAAGGCGTGGCAGCCACTTCACAGGGCAGAGACACCTCAATGGGTCCCTTCCTCTCTGAACCCCATGGGTCGTCTCAAGAAGTCCAGACCCGGCCTCTGACCCTGTCATCCCATCTTCCTCCTCCGTGTCCTCCCTGGGGTAGTTTCTCACCAAAAAATAAATACGGAAGCAGTTGTATTTGAATTTGTGATTAATATCACTCGCCTGGAAGGAGTCCATGATGAATACATATTCTCCACCCCCAGAATTTACCCTTTCGGAATAAACATATTTTACATTATAGGCACTGGCTATGATTCTAATTTGTTTTCTGTTAGCCCCGCAGCAATGGCAAATCTGAATAATTATTATAAACCCAATTTTTACCAACAGCAAAAAGAAGTTCACTTATAAGGGATGTGACTGTGGAGGTATGTCAGCATCAAATGCCGTTTGGAATTTAGAGAAGGACTGGATGATTCCAGGAAGGTTTCACAGGGGGAGAAAACTTGCTGGTTGAGCCCTCAAAAGCAGGTAGGACTCAGCTGGCTGGAAGGAATGCCAAGGACCTTCTCAAGGAGCTGGACAGCAGCATGAGGAAGGGCCTGGACAGAGGTGGGCTCTGGGAAGTGGTGGCGGCTTCCTCGTACAGGGGCAGGAGGCACACCTGTGCAGGTGTAACGAAGGGCTTTGAACACAGAGGTAGTTGAGACCTATTTCTAAGAGGCATAAGGAAGTCACATTGGGATGTTGGCTTTTTCTTTGCTTGAGTTTTCGTTTGTGTATGAAAAATTTAGCGAGTCTCCTTCCAGAGAGTACAATGCATATGGGGCAGGAGGGGAGAGCAACTCACGGTGGAGAAACCCGGTGAGCGCTGCCTCAGCCAGGTGGTCAAGGGCAATGTCAGCAGTCAGAAATCAGGCTGACACTATGTACCCTCAACATGACGCAACAAAATGGCACTTTCTCTCTGCGAACTTTTGCTCAATTTTGCTGTGAAACTAAAACTGCTCTAAAAAATAGTCCTAAAAAAACTCCCCGATAACCCCAGTCTACTCATGAGAAAAACATCAAAACAAATTCCAACAGAGGGGCATCCTACTCCTCAAAACTGTCAAGGTCATCAAAAACACAGAAAGTCTGAGCAACTGTCACAGCCAAGAGGAGCCGAAGGACAGATGAAAGCTAACTACACTGTGGTATTCTGGATGGGATTCTGGAACAGAAAAAGACACTAAGTAAAAACTAAGGAAATCTGAAAAAACTATGGACTTTAGTTAATAATAATGTATCGATATTGGCTCATTAATTGTAACAAATGTATCATACTTGTAAAATGCTAGTAACAGGGGAAATAGCGTGCATGTGGAGAGGTATATGGAAACTCTGTACTAACTGCTCAATTTTTGTTAGCCTAGACTGTTTTATTAAAAAATAAACACTTTTGGGGCCGGTTCCATGGCCGAGTGCTTAAGTTCGCACGCTCCACTGCAGCGGCCCAGGAATCGGATCCTGGGCGCGGATATGGCACCGCTCGTCAGGCCACATTGAGGCGGCATCCCACATCCCACAACTAGAAGGACCTGTAACTAAGATATACAACTGTGTACAGGAGGGGTTTGGGGAGATAAAGCAGAAAAAAAAAAAAAAAAGATTGGCAACAGTTGTTAGCCTAGGTGCCAATCTTTAAAAAAAGAAACACTATTAATGAAAAAAATGTAATGAATTGATAATAAGAGCTGACACAGAGCCCTCACGAGGGATCAGGCACTGTATCAGGCACTGAGATAAAGACAGCTCATCTAGCTTCCTTCAAGCACACAGACGAGTGCCTGGCACATCTTAATAAATACTGGCCATCATCCCCTCCATCATAATTCCTTACTCATCATCTTTGCTTGAGTTTTTGCTTTTTAATGACGTGAAGGAGATTGAAGGAGTCTGGCAGTACGTACACTATAGAATCTGAAGTCAGGGAGAGGCTGTTACCCTTGGTGATTAGAGTGACAGCCCTGAATGGATGGTGGCAATGAGAAAAAGGAATAAATACAAGAGCCATTACTGTGGACCTCCTCAGTGCCAAGTGTGGATCTCTGCCATTATGTCTGAAGTGAAAGCTACTTAGTTTTCATATTCAATATGAGGTGCCACTTTCAGTAGGCAAATTAAGGAAGTGATTCATTTTTCCAGTTATCTTATTTAATTTCTAGTTCCTGCCCCAAACCAGGAACCAGAATACAGCAGAGCAGCTAGACACATTCCCAGCAGTTGCATCATCCCTAGAGGGCGCTAGGATTTTCCTTCCCTTAGAGGTCAGTGCCTACGGCTTTGGACTTTCATTTTTTAAAACGAGTTCAATCATAAGGTTCATTTATTCCCGGAATGGCGAACAATGAAAACAGAACTGCCCTTTGAGCCAGTTCTAAGAGCAGAACAGGAACTGCTGGCCTGAAAAGCAGCCTTCAAATGTGGGTGCACAGCACCTGGGAAACTGGGCCCAACCCTGTCCGGGAAATGACAAGCAATGCAGCCTAAGGCCCCTCCACCAATGACTTTCTGGCTCTCACAGAGACAGGCCACATAACCTTCATCCTCTTATTTCTCATATTTGCAACCCCAACTTAAGATTTAAGAGGCAATCAATAGTGAGAAGGTCAGGTGACTCTAAAACCCAGTACACCCTAATTCCAGTTCCCACTCTCCCTCAAATTCTCTTCTCAGTCAAATCTGGGACTTCACAGAGGAAACAACAGCAGTTTTCTGGGTTCAGAGTTGTTTCCGCCCGCGGCACCCGCAGGGCACCTAGAGCAAAGTCCGAGTCAGCATCGCGCTGACTAACCGGCACCGTCCCGGCCCCACTGTCCCGGCTCCGTAAAGCAGTTACCCAGCTGATCACAGGCGCCGAGGCCCAGAGCCCCGCGACGTTACACCCGGCGTGTGGGGCGTTCGTCACCCGGAGAGGACCCTCGGGCACAAGTGGACACTGGGAGGGACGAGGGATGCTCTGGACCGGACAGGCCGCCGGGGAGGAGGGCCGGGGCCCCGGGAACTGCGTGGCCGCCCCCTCCCCTCTCCTCCCGCCCTCCTCCCCTCCCCTCCCCGGGCCCCCCGGCGCTCACCCCCGGGCCCTCGCGCACGCTGTAGGTGAGCCGCAGCCACAGGTGCTGGCCGGCCCGGCACGGCCGCGGGAGGTCCACGCACAGCGCCTCGCCATAGCGCGCGAAGGGCCGCGTGTAGAAGGGCACGACCTGGCTGGACGGCTCGTCCGGGCTGCCCGGGGCCCGCCACTCCGGCTCCAGCTGCAGCTCCGCCGCCGTCACCCGGAGGCTGGGATGCGAGTCGAGCCGCAGCTCGGAGGAGCCCCCGGGCTCCAGGCACCGCAGCGTCAGCACCGCCGCGCCGCTCAGCCCGCGGGCCCCCGGCGGACCCAGCTCGGCCCGCAGGTCCAGGTGCAGGTGCAGCAGCTCGAAGGCCCGGAAGCTGGACGCCGAGGCCACGTCCGTCGCCCGCGCCGAGCGCAGGGGCCTTGGGCCCGCGCCGCAGCCGCAGCCGCCGCCGGGAGACCCGTCGCTCGCCATGGTCCCGACGCGCCAATGCGCACGCGCGAGGAAGCCCAAGCCCGGTGAGAGCCGCGCAGACCCCGCCCCGGGGAGGGGCAGCAGACCCCGCCCCACCGCGCAGACCCCGCCCCCAGGGGGGAGACCCATGCAGGCCCCGCCCCAACACGCAGACCCCACCCCCAGGGAGACCAGCGCTGGCCACGCCCCCTCAGGCCCCGCCCCTCTCCCTTGCCTCCCCTCGCCCCCGCCCCCCCGCCGACTCCTCTTTCTGCAGGTGCCTCAGGACTTTGGAGCAGAGGACTGCGGGATAATTTGGTCCACACTCGCCCAATGGTCCCAGGGGCGCACCCTCCCTCCTGGCCTTTCCCTGTGCCCTCATCTTCCCCGCTGGCCCCAGGATGTAGGCACTGGCCCCTGGATTGGAAGGGTCTGGGTTCCAGTTCTCCCCCAAGAAAGGTGAATCTTTCCGAGCCTCTTTCTGCGCCTGTAAAATAGGAGCAGTGATATCTATCTCACGAGTTAATCGTGAGAACTCAGTCTGGTAACGTGTCTAAACACGTGTGGTGAACAGCCCAGAATTCCATGCAGATCGAGGTCCATCCCCGGGGGCTCCAGGATCTTTCCAGGATCTACACGTCTAATAAAAATACAAAGACGTTTGGCTTCCACTAGAGGGTGAAGGGAGCTATAAAAACCATGCACGGACTCTTTCAAAGAAAAAAGACTAGATAAGCTACAGTTACCAGCCTTTTCAAACCAGTCAGAGAACTGTTGTCCCAGAACAAGCCACTGGCCGAGACACTAAGGAGAGCCAGGCACCCGAAGGCGGAGCGCAGCAGGGTCCCTCACAGGGGTAGCTGCAACCAGACCCCGCAATGGTTCAATCAGGGTAGTTGACAATTCATGAAGGCCGGCAGTGGGCTGCTGAGCTACTGGAGGACCATCGAAACTGGAGGAGTTTGCAGCCTCTTGCAGGTTTTTTCTCTACGTCCTTGTAGAAAAGATCAGAAAGAGCCCCAGGGTTGGGGCTGCAAGGTTGTTGTGGGGCAGACCTGGGAGAAGAGAATGGAGCCAAAGCTGGAAGGGAATGAATTCCGCTGTGATGCTTCCCCAGAGAACATAGAGCTTCACGTGTGGGAGAAAGGCAGCAGCCGCCGTCGTCCTTAGGGCGCTGGTGCCAACTCAGCAGGTGGGGGAAGGGAACAGAAGGGAACTGCATCCCAGGGGAACGCGGCCGACTACAGGCAGGGGAGGGCTCCCCTACTGAGACCCAGGGACATGATGCCCACCTAAACCACGGCTCAATCAGAAGAGCAAACACTCAACACCACCCTCCCCACACCCCCACCAAGCTAACAAACTTCCAGTAACAAGTAAGAGTGCCACACTGGTGGGAGAGGGACAGGAGAAGAAGGAGAGCCTGCAGAGGCCTACCCTCAGGTGCAGTGCGGAGAGATGAGCCAAAGCTGAGGGCAGACGTCACTCTGGCGAACAAGCACCCACCCTAAACCCCAGCATCCCTGAGGAACTTGAAGCCTGTGGTGCACTGAAGGTCACACAGCAACAGCAAACCTCAAACCCAGACAAGACCCCAACCAGATCAACTCACCCCACCCCCAGTAAAGGCCTAGCAAGAGAAAGGAGTTCCCCTTCCCAGATACAAATTTTATACACCTCAGCGTCCACTATCCTACACTAGACGTCTGGTTTTCAAAAAAATTATGAGGTACACGATAATGCCAGAACTAGACACAAATGTCACCTAGATGTTAGGATAGGGAATTTAAGATAATTATGATTGGTATGTTAAACATTCTAATGGAAAAGGTGAGTAACACATAAGACGGGTAATTTCAGCAGGGAGATGGAAACTATAAAAAAAATAAAATGAGATGCTCAAAATGCAAAACACAGTCTCGGAGATGAGAAATGCCTTCACGGAGCTCATCGGTAGACTGAACACAGCCGAGAGAGAGTCAGATACGTGAGCAGAAATCACCTGACTTAAATACAAAGGAAAAACAACACGGGGTGGGAACGAAGATAAGACATCCAAGAGCTGCTGGACAATACCAAATATTCTAATTCATGCATCATTGAAATCCCAGAAAGACCAGAGAGAGTGGAGTATGAAGAAACAGCCAAGAATCGTCCAAAACTAATGACACACATGAAACCACAAAGAAGCAAAGAGACCACCAGGAAAGATAAATGCCAAATAAAACAAATAATTTATGAACACCTTAGCCCATCATATTTTTTTAAAAATCATATTTTAAAAAATACAAACAGGGGCCGGCCCCGTGGCTGAGTGGTTAAGTTCGCACACTCTGCTTCGGCAGCCCAGGGTTTCGCTGGTTCGAGTCCCGGGCCCGGACAGGGCACAGCTCATCAAGCCACGCTGAGGCAGCGTCCCACATGCCACAACTAGAAGGACCCACAACTAAAAATACACAACTATGTACCTGGGGGTTTTGGGGAGAAAAAAGAAAAAATAAAATCTTAAAAAAAAATACAAACAAAAAATCCTAAACAAAGCCAGAGAATTAAAGATATACAGAGGGACAAAAATAAGAATTACAGCAAACTTCTAGTCAGAAACAATGCAAACCAGACAACAATGAAGTGACCAAAGTACTAAAAGAAAAACATCTGGTGGCCTAGAGAAAGCATTTTTTAAAATGAAGAGGAAATAAAGACTTTCTCAGACAAATGAAAACTGAGTGAATTAATTGCTAGCAGACCTGCTCTATGAGAAATATTAAAGGAAGTTCTCCAGGCAGAAGGAATGTGTTTATCACATAGAAACTTGGGCCCACACACAGAAAGGAAGAGTGCTAGAAATGGAATAAATGGAGGTAAAATAAAGTCAATCTTTTTCTTATTTTTAATTGCTGTAAAACAGAGGTTGGTACATTTTTTTTCTCTAAAAGGCAAATGCTTTACTTAATTCTGCCATATGTATGAAGGTATGAAAGCAGCCGTTGACGAAACATAAAGAAATGACTATGGCTATGTTCCAGTAAAACTTGACTTGTGAACACTGAAATTTTAACTTCATGTAATTTTCATGTGTCATGAAATATTTTTCTTCTTTTGATTTTTTTCAACCATTAAAAATTTAAAATTCTTAATTCACAGGCCACACAAAAGGAGAAGGTGGGGTGGATTTGGTCCATGGGCCTCAGGTTGCTGACTCCTGCTCTAAAAGATAACCTACTGTACAAAGTAAAAGCAGCAGCAATGTCCTGTGTGTTTATAGGATACATGAAAGTAAACTGGATCACAAGAGCAAAAGGGGGAGGAGGAACTGGGACACACTGTAAAGGGGGGGGGGAGGAACTGGGAACACACTGTAAAGGGGGAGGGGAGGAACTGGAATACACTGTAAAGGGGTAGGGGAGGGACTGGAACACACTGTAAAGGGGGAGGGGAGGAACTGGGAACACACTGTAAAGGGGGAGGGGAGGAACTGGAACACACTGTAAAGGGGGAGGGGAGGAACTGGAATACACTGTCATAAGGTGCTTATCCTACGTGTCAAGTGATATGTTACTATTGTAAGGTGAACTCTGATTAATTACAGATGTATATTGGAAATGCTAGGAAAACCATAAAAAATTTAATAAGTATAAATAATAAGTTAATAGAAGAGATAAAATGGGATCATTAAAAATGTTTGGTTAACCCAGATGAGGCAGAAAAAGAGGAAAAAAATAAACAGAAAAAAATGGAACAAATAGAAAACAGCTTACAACTTAGTACATTTTAATCCAGCTATATCAATGATCACATTAAATGTGAATGGTCTAAATACACCAGTCAGAAGGAAGAGATTGTTAGAGTGACTAAAAGAGCAAGACACCAATTATATGTCATCTAAAAGAAACTCACTTTAAATATAAAGACATAGAAAGGTTAAAAGTAAAAGAATGAAGGAAAAATGATATGAAACTAAGCAAATACTAAGCAAAATAAAACTGTAGTAGCTATATTAATATCAAAGTAAACTTCAGAATAAGGAATATTATAAGAGATAAAGATGGAATTTACATAATGATAAGGGAGTCAATTCTCCAAAAATACAATCCTAAATGTGTATTTACAACAGAGCTTTGAAACATGAGGCAAAAACTGATAGAACTGAAAGAAGAAACAGACAAATCCACAATTATAGTTGGAGATTTCCACTCTTGTCTCTCAGTAATTAATACAAGTAGACATAATCAGTAAGGATAAATAAGATCTGAACGACACTGCCAACCAACTACACCTAATTGGCACTTACAGAACAAGATCATAATATATATTCTTTCCAAGTACACACAGAACATTCACCAAAGAGACCATATTCTGGGCCATAAAACAAACCTCAACATATTAAAAAGAAACAATCATAAAAAGTGTTTTAAGATGACAACAGAATTAAATTAGAACTAGAAAAATAGTTATTCTAATTATACAATATGAAATTAGAAATAGTTGTATATTTTAGTTATGGGTTCTTCTAGCTGTGGCATATGAGCCACCAGCTCAGCACGGCCTGATGAGCAGTGCCATGTCTGTGCCCAAGATCGGAACCAGCAAAATGCTGGGCTGCCGAAGCGGAGAGTGCGAACTTAACCACTTGGCCATGGGGCCGGCCCCTAAACATTTTTAAATAACATACTTTTAAATAACCCATGGATCAAAGAGGATGGGTCAATGGAAATTTTAAAATATTCTTAACTAAATGAAAATGAAAATAAAACATACCGAAATTTGTGGAATACAGCTAACATAGTGCTTAGGGGGAAATTTATAGCATTAAATGCTTATATTGGCAAAGGAAGTTCTAAAATCAATAATCTAAGCTTCCCTCCTAAGAAACTAGATGAGTAAACTAAACAAAGCAAGCAGAAGAAAGGAAACAATGAAGGCAGAAATCAACTATGTTGAAAATAGAAAAGCAATAGAGAAAATCATTGAAACCAAAAGGTTGTTCTTTGAAAAGATCAATAAAATTGATAAGCATTTAGCCAAATGGACCAAGAATAAGAGAGAGAA